ACATCTTTACATTTACTGACTTAAAATTCTGGATCCACTTTCTAAAAATTACTTTCTTGTTTGTTTGTGCAGCTGTTATAACGGCGTTCTTACCCTGTGTAACATTTGGACAAATAGCAGAAGTCGTTGATGCAGGACAAATGAGTAAGTTTCCTAGTCGACCCATCTTACTTTTTATTATTTTCCGTATACAGAAGTTAAACTCTTTGAATAAAAACTGTGCATATTTGTTAGCTTGTGCTATGAACTAATACCAAAGTTTGATTTTTTGTGTTTTGGTGATTAATGCAGCATGCCCTTTAGGGACTTTCATATACATGCTGATGATGCCTGCTATTTGCTCTCAGTGGATCATGGGCTCAAAATATAGAACCCATTTGAGACAAAGATATAATCTCGTGGAAGCTCCTTATTCAGACATGATTTCCCATATGTTCTGTCCATGTTGCTCTCTTTGTCAAGAATTCAGAGAGCTTCGAAACAGGGGACTTGATCCCGCTCTAGGTATGTCACACTTGGTTACAATTAATATTGTACTGTGTGTCTCGTTCATCTAAAAGCTTAAACTAATAGATGATGATGAGACTCTTAAGTCACGAATATCTTAACATTGTTCCAATAAATGTTGTGCAGGGTGGAATGGTATAGTTGCTCAGCAGCACTATGGGAACCAACAAGTGAATCAAGCTCCTCAAGTACAATCCATGTCAAAGTAAATTTCAAGATTGTGTTTCTTTATTTGTTTGATTTGAGGTTGTAGTGTGCTAGTCATTTTTTTTTGCAACAACCAGATTCTGTTCATGTTTGAAGTTGTATCCTTAAAACTCAACCATATTGTTGGCTGTGTTAATTGTTTGAACTATGTTTTTAGAACCCCATTTCGAGTTAGATTACAGTTTTAATCGAAGCAATGTCTCTTGTCTATGTGCTTGCTATACATAACAGCATCAACCCCAAAGTAATTAAAATCGATAATAAGAATCCTGTAGGATCATTATGCTCTATGTGAACACATTTTATTCCAAATAATATGACTAACAAAACAAAATATGTGTTCACTACGTAGCATTAAAAACAATCCAACAAGAACAAAAAAAAAGAAAAAGAGTTTCATACTTCCATTGCAATGGACTAATGAAGATTTAGCATCTATTGGATGGGCCGGGTTAATTTCATGCCTAATCTTATCTTTAGACAAATAGCCGCACGTTTACCTTTTTTTAAAAGGTACTATTTCTTTTTAATTTATGCGTAGGTGGACGACTATTTAGATTAATTATTGGGCAAATTACAGAAATCACATACTTTTAAGGCAAAATTACAATCTATCCCTTAAAAGTTTATAATTACAGAAATCCCTCAAACGGATACAATAATATAAGCGCTGATACATTAATCTGATGCGCGAGATACATTAATTGTTAAGTAAGATACATTACATTTTATACATGATACACTAATCTGATGCGCGAGATACAATAATATAAGCGCTGATACATTAATCTGATGCGAAAATGAGAGATTTTGGAGATTTGTAAAACTTATAGGGGATAATGATAATATGTAAACTAAAAGGTAGGATTTCTGTAATTTTTCCATAATTCTTCAATCTTATTTGTTAAGAGTTGAATTACGGAAGTACTAAGTTATTGTGAATCAAGTTGGGCCCCTAACTTGGGCCGTCTTATTTTTCTTGTCGGCCTTCTTTTACTTTATTTTTGGACCTTTATTTTTCGTCTTCAACATTGTCATTTCCTAAAATTTGTTTGTTTATAATGGATGAAAAGAAAAAGGCAAAATTCCATAAGTAGCATTATTAGCATTCATTTTTACAATATATAGTGAGATTTTAGTTTACTTTTACATAAACAGATTTATGTATATTGTATATCAGCTATTAAAATATATAATATTGCTATGTTTTGTAATTTTCTTAAAGTACCATTATATAAGTGATAAAGGCCCGCAACTGCTACATCAAGTAATTTTCTCAAAGAAAAAAAAATATAGCTGGCTATTTAGAATTTAAACTATAAAAGAGTAACAAGGAGGCCGAAAACTGTATTCATATAAAGTTAGAGAAAATTATATGAAATAACAAACTATTAGTTCAAATTAAATGTTATAGTCATAGTTTTTTTTATTTGTAATTCGCAGCAAATATTCCATGTTTTTTGCCATCCCATTTGTATATTGTACCGAAATATACAAATGTAGGACCCATTTATATATCAAAATATACAAATAGACCCAAATACATATTTTTTATGTATAAGTATACCGAAATATACATATTAATAGTCATAGCAAACACTAAATTTGCTATGGAGCGCAATTATATATACAAACTATAACATACAAATATGACTTTTATGTTTGCTAAACCTAAAATTTACCCTATCAAACTTGAATCTCCACTATAGATGGTAGATTAGTAGTATAGTCAAACATATAATTAGTTATTAGTCGGATCATTTCTCTTAATTAGTCCAATCATGATTTAGATATGTTTCATTCACTTCATTTAACCTATCTTTAATTAGTGAAATTAACCTAACCACTTACTAGTGAAATTTTGCTCAATTTTTTTTGGATATTCTAAATCACGTTTTTTTCCTCCTAATCTTTTACGATATTTCTATAATTGGGTTTCCAGCTACTGACTGACAATAGACAGGTCCATTATCATCATTATACCCCAAACAAACAAACAAAATAAGGAATAAAGTTAGAATGAATGTATTTTGTTTGATATAGTACCATAAAAGGTAGAAAAAACTAGTAGTACTTGTCTCAATTCAATACTTGTTGGGGTCTATTACATATATATATATATATATGCTATTATTAAGAGAATATGTTATAGTTAGACTTTTCTTTTATTAAGTACAAAAATCTAATGACTTCCAGGTAAGTATAAAACCTTTTACTAGTAGAAAATCATTTTTTTCTTCTTCTTAGAATTATTAGTATTCTCGCTTCTAATATCTTATGCCTTCAAGTCATGTCACAAAAAACCTTCCGTGTGTGTATATATGTAGATGCATAATTCTTTTTTCACTAAAAACCTGTCTATGTAGATATAGAACTTCAAATCAACAACAATTTGAAAGTTACTTTTCCCGACCTAGTTTCTCACCATGGTAACTGAATATTTTCAGCATCAACAATAAAACCTAGCTATGTCTCTTTGTGATCTTGCTGTACATAAAGACGACGTTTTGTTCGTTATGAACTAAAAAGTGATTGGCTGATTAGTAAACGTTAGGCCGCCTAGCCACTTGCAAATAAAAGGTTGGGGAATGGACAGGGACAGGTATATAACTTGCTAAGGGAAATTGAAATTGGCCACAACAACAAGGGCGGATTCACAATGTGTTATATGTAACATGAATCAAGTAGTTTTTGTCAAAAAAAATTATATTAATTTTAAGAAGTTTATTAAATATTTATTAGTAAATTTAATTATTATTATTATTATTATTATTATACAATAACTTCATGAAAATTCTATAGAAATTCATAAATTTAAAATCATGAATCGAGATTCAACTACCGCGCGTCCATTCTAAACTGTCACTATCTAGCTTTGAAAACGAATTCAAATATATTGTTGGTCCTTTTTAAAAAGCACAAGTAGACAACATAATGCTACTGTTTTTATTAATTTAATATTTGATTTAATATGTTTTGGCTTGATCATGAATTGATGATTGTATTGAACCAACTTTAATCATATACATTTTTTTTCTTTTCATTGTTTAATTTGTTAATCATCTTAAATAATAATATTGTCAAAGCCTCAAATCTTTTAAGCACATTTCACTTTTTTGGATGTCCCAAGACACTATTGACATTAAATAATGAATGCATAATTGCTTCTTGACTTTCTTACATAGCAATTAACACACAAGTACATATATCCCAGCACGAATCTTAATTTATTGTCAACTTTTATAAAAGGATAAAATTAAGAATTAAATAATTTAACTTTTATAAAAGGATAAAATTAAGAATTAAATAATTTCCTATCATCGTGTCATATATGTATTTTATTGAAATTTCAAACAGAAATTATTGGATAGAGAGGAACTAATAATAGTTTCTTTATTTTAAAATTGTTTACCTTTTGTTAGTGGAAAACGAAAGTGGAATGACCTAGGCAATTACAAAGTTCATTAGTCGAGGATAGATCCTTAATTCCGCCGCCCCCACAATTTATAAATTATTTAAAAAAGAAATTACTGTTAATTTCGTGGCAATTAATAATTAGTGTGTGATTTAATTTAATTAGATGATTCTTTACTATACACTGATCTAATACAAATTTAACATTCATCATTCCATTTCAACTTGTAGCCGAAGGTAGACGTTTTTCAGTGGTAGAATCTTCTAGTTCTTTTGATCGGAGGGAAATGTTTCTCGGTAGAAAAAAGGAATAACAGCTATTCCTAATTTTTTTTAATGGAAAATCTAGTAACAAGAAGATTTAATAAAAAATATCAACAAATTCTTATGGAGTCCAAAAACATAAAATTGAGCCAAAACATTTAATTAAGTCAAATCGAACAAGAAAAAAATGGAAAATATTTTCCTCTATCGAACACAACCATAATCTCATCATTTTCATCAAACTATTATTCACTTGTGGTAATTTGAGCGATCATACGTGCAATTTTGACTCAAAAGTGAAATATAATCTTGACCTAAAGTCGGAAGCTTAATTATTTACTCTCTCCGTCCATTTTTAGTTGTCATGGTTTCCTTTTTTAGAGTCAAACTATAATAATTTTGACAAATATTTTACGGTGTATTTTTTCATCAAATTGATATGCCAAAATTGCAATTTATAGTACTTTTCATATAGTTTTTAAATACATACATTTTTTTGCTTAATACTTATCTTCCTAACGATAGTCCCAAATAAATTTCTCGATCATAAAAAAAACAACAACTAAGAGTAACGAATTTAAAGATATTGCAAGAAAGATAAAATTTCTGAAACGATATGTTGATTGTACCTATGGATTTCCAAGTTACATATACAACACTTATGAACTACCTAGTAAGGTAGTATGATTATTCATGAAATTCAAGAAAATAGGACCATATTGTACATTGGACAATACCACTTTATCTTTGACCCGATTTCAAATGCAAAATAGCATCACAAACAGTCAGCTCTGATGACTTCCATACTGAGAATGACTGCTTTGTGATGTTATATCATTCATTCCATGAGGACACAGAGGCTCCGATCCGTCTTATCATCAGTTTGTTGACTCCTCGGTATTTTTATATTGTCAGTGTATATAACTTAAATCCAATCAGAATAAACACTTGTAACATCAAAATCCTCCTCCGAGAGCCGGAGCCCAGTAATCGGCGCCGGTGTCACTTCCTATATTTGCCATGCAAGAAATAGGAACCAAGCACAACCCTCTACTCCTTAAATCCATCGCTTTGTGCTGAGAATCCTATAGAGAATGAAAATTAAAATCAGGTCACTTAGCTTAAAAGATAATTAGAGGCAACTCAATTTAGTACGTAGCATTGATTAGTAACGTCGTAGAACAAATGATAAGTAACCTGCTATAACATGTTAAATTATCCTGATGGTGTAAAATTTAATATATTTGCTAATTGTGACACTAGTAATGGGGCATGCATGCATTGAATAGAATTATACCGTACCTGCTTATTTGCTGGCCTCCTTTTCAGAAAATTACCATCCAAAAACTAGATGAAAAGGAATTAGAATTGAAATCAGTATCTACGGACAAGAAAGTTATAATGGATCCAAATTCAAAACTTTATTATCCCCTTTCTTGACTATTAAGCTACTCCTTCTGTTTCTTTCTAGTCTGTTTTTAAAACGAACGTCACATTTTTATATGTAGTAAACTTTTAGTGTTAACATTTTCATCTTTACACTTAACAACACTCCCTTATAGGCATGACATCATATTTAAACCACAATTTAAAGTCTACATTTTGTAAGTTACACTTTTAATTAATTAAAGAACACATGAATTAGACGTACTCTTTATATTCTTAAACTTTGTGCTCAGTCAAACTACGTAATAGAAAACAGATCATCAGAGTTTGTTTTTAACAAACTCATATATAGTTGAAGAAGTGCAATTATTGTTGAGAAGTTCATTTCACCTTTAGGCCGGTCACTTTTTATGAACATATCACTTTGATATAACTGTTGCTTTACAAATGTAAAGCCTCACATAACTAGCTTTTGGTGAACTGCTGAGGGATCCAATAAAGTAGGCATTTGTATATCAAGCTATTTTGGCAGTAAATAATAATTTTCTTGAAATCAAGAAAAAATAAAGGTTAATCTTGATAATTAACGAATTAATCAGATATGATTAGTCAGTCGCACGTGTATAAATATGAGAAACTGATGAGCAATCTTGGTCGTGCATTGGAAAATGTGAAAAGAATAAATTCTTACATTCAGTGATTGTTGGGGAATGTGACCCATGCTTCCTGATGCATTGCCCAGGTATGGTGAGCTTAATGCCTGCATATATACGTGCACCACAGGAAAAAAAATATACATAAAGAAGTTAAAATGATAAAAATTCATGTATAATATCAATGGATATATCTTAAATATAATATATATATTCATAGTAATATAAAAGATTTTTCACATATTTATAATAAGTTAGTAACATATATAGGACGATCGATTCGTAATAAGTAAGATAAGTAATCTGAAAGATAATAAGGTGAATAGTAATATTCCTTCGTTTCAAATAGAATGATCTAATTTGACTTGACACATACTTTAAGAAAATAATTTTTTTTTTTAATCTTAGGGTCTTAAATTAAAGTTGCGTGAAATATAGTACTCCCTCTATCCCAATTTATGTGACTTACTTTCCTTTTTAATCCGTCCGAAAAAGAATGACACATTTCTATACTAAGCAACAATTTAACTACTAAATGCCTATTTTATTGTGTCACACAAATTTCTATCATTCATTTTGGACCACAAGTTATAAAAGTCTTCCTTTATTTCTTAAACTCTGTACCGAGTCAAACTACCTCACATATAATGAGATGGAGGGGGTATATATATTGCAAACATGTCAAAATCAATGAATGTTTAGATAGTGTATATGGTGACGTATATAAGTTAAACTGATGTAGTTGTAAGTTTGAAAGTCACAGCATGCTTATGAATGAAAAAAAAAAAGGAAGACCTGAATTTGAGCCTGAAGGAATCTGATGTAGCCAATAGCTTCTGATAGGACGGAGGCTGTATCAGTCTGCAAAAGAGAAACATGACATGTCTGTCTCACACACCAACACAAATTAAAGCCATATATTCTTCTTTTTCTCTTTTCCTTTTTGTGTTGAAAAACTTTATTTAATTTAGACACACCTTCATGGGTAAGATCACTAAAGCAAAAAGGAATCTAAAATGTGTTATCTACTAATTAAATTCCTAAAAAATTAATTAGTACTATTTCAATCTTATTCTTTTCAGTGATCCAGTACTGCCACCAGCATGGGAAATAGGCTAATTAATACGCACCACAAGTTATGTTTTAATTTACATGCATTGACACCATTGTAAATAATTTTAACATGTAATTGTCTGTCAGTCATACGATGGTGAATTTATCTTCGAACCTTGCGTACACTACTTGTCTAATTGGGTAGTGTCTCAATTTTAGTGTGACTGATTGATCGATGAATTTTAACTTATTATATAAAATTATTAAGTTGATTGTTATATTACTTATAGATTAATCTATAGAAGTCAACTTAATCTAATGATATGAAAAAAATAATTACACATTCCAAGTGTGAAAAGTTGCAACCTAGCTAGTAACTTTACCTTTCCAAATGGAGAAACAAGTTGGTGGAGTGATGTTACTCTATCTCCTAGCTTCTCCTTTCTTACCTGCACAGAAATTGCAAGCAAAAAAAACTGTTAACTTAATTAAGGACTTTAGTTTGCTAGGTAATTCCATAGTTTTCAGTGAAATTATGGGTGTTTGACCATATTTTATTGTGAAATTTGAAAAAAAAAAGTTTTTATTTTCAAAGTGAAATTGTGTTTGGCTATGAACACAAATTAATTAACGTTGTTTTTTACTTTTTAAGAGTGAAAAAAGTGAAACACATTTTTGTTGTTTTTCAAACTCTTGAAAATTTTGTAATTCGAGTTGAAGTTTCAGAATTTTATGACTAAACATGTTTTTCGGAGTTGAACTCCAGGAAAAAATGAAAAAAGTTCATGATCAAACGCAAGTGTGTACAAAAATTAAATAGAGAAGGAAGAGAGATATAGTAATAACAATTGCCTTTAGAGATGGTTGAGCTGAAGATTGTTGAACCCTAGCCTTCTTACTAATCCCACCACTGCTTGTGCTGTTACACTTTTAATAGATGCATAAAAAAAAGTCAATAAAGTCAACAAAAAAAAGGTAAAAATTCAAAAACTTAATGCTTTAGCTAAAATTTTCATAATGAAAATCACTAAGCATCTCTACTTTTTTGTATTGATTAAATTCCTAATACTAATCATGAATTTATTTTGGCATTTATATATAAATCACTTTCCCCTTTTTGAAATTTTAATGATGAATCCATTGACTTATAATAAGTGTAAGATGAAATGGATAAATCAACTTTTTTAATTAATTACCCCTCTTTTTTTTTTTCTTACCTCAGTTGAATTATGATCTGGATGTTGATGCTTATGTTCCCCTTTGTTGTTAGAGAAATTCAAAAGGTTATGACTTAAACCTGTTGTAATACAAGAGCTAGCTGGTGAAGACAAATCTTGTTGAGACCAATTAGAAGCAATTAAAGGTCTGGTAAAATGATCAGTATCTAATTCGAGTTTTTGTTGCAGTGATGAGGATGTTTGAAATTCGTTGTGGACATGATGATGATGATGAAAGTCGTACAATTGGGCCAATTCTGGCTTTACATCAGCAACAGGAACCCTAAAATTAGTTGTTGATGATGTTGGATGGACGGAATTCAAACTTTGGTCTTCTGAATTCCCAGCCTCATGAAAAGGACTAATACCAAACTTTTCTTCATCACCAGAAAATCCACTCCTGCAGAGAGACAAATTTGGAGAATTACAAGGAAAAAAAGTCTCACCCAGTCATGACACAAAATACAAATCTTATAACCAGAAAAGGTGGATTCTGTATGTTTAATTGAACCTATTACTTTCTGCTCGAACTATATGTAAAAGTACAAAAAAAAAAAAAAAAAAAACTCTGAAAATATATATCTTTAATAAAATCACACTAATTTTGAACCTATAGAATTAATCTAGATCTTGTATCCGTTTTTTGCTCATAGGAACAAGACTTGAAGAAATCAAATGAAAATTATTAGCTCAACCAAAAGGGAAAGTTATCAAAATTTTCTAGGTAAGGAGCTAGCATGGAGAGTATATATGAGTTAGGTCGAATTCAGTAATTTTTAACATACCCTATAATATGTGCATATAATAAACTTCGAATTCTGAATATCTTTAAACATAGAATCAAACCAAGCTAGGTAATTTAACATGACAATTAATAAAAGAGAGAGAGAGAAAGAGACTAAAGATTTGTATATTTACATAAGAAGTTGGCTCAATGAACGAGGAAAATCTTGATTTGGATTATGAGCTCCATAAAAATGTGAAGAATTAGAATTAGAAGAAGAATTATGTTGATCATGATCATGAGATAATTGTGGATGCATGTTTCCATTCATGATCATGCTCCACCAATTAGTAGGGTTTCCAGCCATCATTTGCTACTAGTACTACTGATGATTATTTTTCACCTCCTCTCTCAACACAAATTTGTGATCTTTCTTTTTCTTCTTCTCCGGTATCTCTCACTACTTTTTGCTCTTGCACATCACTATTTTTTTCCTTTTTTTTTGTGCAATAAAAGGAGACTTTCTTGAAGGGCTTTCAAGGCTGTATTATATATATCATTGTCAAGTGAGTAAACATTACTTTGTAGTAGCACTCTCTCCGTCCCATTTTATGTGACACAATTTGATTTGACACCACGTTTAAGGGGGGAAGAAAAGAAGACTTTTAAAACTTGTGATCTAAAACAATCCTTAGATATTTGTATGGTTGTAAATCATTTCGGGAATTTTAAAGTTAAATTGTTTCTAGTTACAGTAAGATGACATTCTTTTGAAGACAGATTGAAAATGATAAGGTGTTACATAAAATGAGACGGAGAGAGTAGTAGTATTTCTTACTTGTGGGGTTGAGAACCTTTGTTATTGTATTTTGTTTTCCCCCTTATTGATACCTTCTTTTATTTTTTTAATTTCTTGCTTTAATTAGCTTTATTGTAAAGTGGAGGCAGCAAAAGGCTGGTGGGTCAGGCCCAAAAACAAATGCTCGTGGAGTTATTTTAAAAAAATTTATTTTCCAACTTCATTGACTTAAGAGTGGTAACTAAAGGATTGTTCTTTTCTGTTACTAGCTATACAGCTGCATTCTCTGATCTTATCATGTGAAAAACGGAGCACGCTCTTTTATCACATCAATATATATATATATATATAGAAAGTTAGATATTCTATCGGCCATGCTTTTGTATTTCGTTATAGAAAAGTTTAATTGTATTACATAACACATGTAATCTTTTTATATTAGATGTTCAAATTATATTATGGTTATCAAAAAGATAATTAAATTGGTTCAAATCATATTATGGTTATCAAAAAGATAGTTAAAAAAATTTAGATAAGTGAAAAATAAAATAAGTACTTATAACATGTTTTACATAGTCAACATGTTAAACTATAGTGACTATGTAAAACATGTTATGTCTACTTTTTAAGTTGTATTTCAGAGAAGGGCTCTTAGTTCCATTCTTTCGAGAAAAATTCAAAAGACATTTCTTACGTCATGGACCCTCAAGATGCTGTAGTTTGAAAAATACATCTAGGGGCAATCTAGTCTGTTGCTCAATCATAATTAGTTGTGTTAAAACTAGTCCATGAAAATATGACCTGCTAACCCGCTCAAGTATGGAATTAATTATCCCATTATTAACTTAGAATTCAGTTTAATTCAAATAACTTAATATTCGCTCATTTATCAACTCAGTTTACTTTCATATTTCGTTTATTTGACATCCCTAGTCACAAACACTTGATTGTCAAGAACAAATTATAACGATCAATAGTAGTCTACTTAAGGGCGACATGAAAAACGGTATATAGATGATCAATTTGTTACGGTAAATTCAAAGGCTTTGTTATTAGAAATGAGAGAGAAGGTGATATATTTTAAGTTTATATCTCATGTCAATGCTTTTTTGTTCTCTCTTCTTTTTCAATAACGTTAGTAATCATATCAAACTTGCCTACATGTCTAATACCCTCGATTTGTCTTCTTAATAAAGTTTGGACAATCCTCAAGAAGCTACGACTAATTGGGGGCAATTTTTTTCGAAGAAAGGGAGAATGATAATTCTCAAGAGTCATCGAAGCTCAAGGAGCTTTGGAAGATTAAGTTAAGGAGACTTGAAGTTATTCATAATTGGCTTAAGTGAATATTCTAATGGGGGATTTAGAAGCGAGCCACATTGCATGTTTTAGCTGACCTTAATCTCATTCTAGCCTTACGTTCAATTATATAAGGGCTATATTTGTAATTAATAGCTATCTCCGATAATTACAAGGGTATTTGGACATAATAACTGTGAAATTTGAAGAAAAAAATAGGACAATATTTGTTTTCAAGTTGAAATGACATTAGAAATTGAGATTAATTACTATCCACTAACGGTGGACAAGAAAATTACACAATCAACTTATTTTTAGAAATACTTATTTTTCTTCTTAGTTTAATTAATATATTCTCACATTTAATGATTAATGATCTTTTTTCTTTCTTTTATTAAAACACGTTGAGGTTTATCATCTTTCTCCCTCTCTTTCCTACCTTTCTCATCTATGTCTTTGGATCTTCTTCTATCAATAATTCAATATCAAAATATTATGCTAAATTGCAGAAATAGTGTGTCTATTTTTTCAAGTGTAAGATTACTACCTTTAATTTTGGGATTTGTCCAATTTACTGAAAAGTTCTAAAAAGCATTCTCTAAAAATCATTGTTACCACAAAACATAAAATTCTTCATACATTGGAACAAGAAAAAAAATTCTTTGAAATAACATTGAAATATTTTTTATACAATCGACTTTGAGTATTTACTAATTTAGATTCTGAAAAGAAAAATAATAATGAGTAAAAAATTATCATCTTTTTATCTCAAATTGCCTCAATTTTGTATGTCAATTGCTTTAATGGTGTTGATGGAGAATGAGCATGAAAATAATAAGGATAAAGAAAGCATGAAAGAATCCTTCTTACTTTTGACAAGTCAAGTAAGAATTCTTAACAAACTCATATAATTAATTTAGAGTCCAAGTTACCATATAACACTCTTTTATTATTATTTAATAATATTAATATTATGTGATTTAAAAAAAAAATTGATATGTATTTCTAAAAATGAGATGATGGTGTAATTTTCTTTTCCACCATCTGTGGATATAAGTTACTCTCCAAAATAGTTTTTAAGTCAAAAATAAAAAATCAAAATTAAATGACTTTTAAGTCAAAATAAAAAGTAGGGGATGCCTGCTTTTGATTTTTTAACTTATTTTAAGTTATTTTTATATTTGTCAAACACTTTCTGAAGTTAAAAATTAATTTAAAAGTAGATTTGACCAACTTTTAAGTCAATTCAAATACCCTCTTAGAGTGAAATTACGAAATGACTTTTTGGAATTCATCTTGAGAAACTTATAACAATTTTATGTCCAAATAGCTTTTCGAAATAAAATTCTAAAAAGAAAAAGAAAAGAGTGAAAACTGTATGCTCTTGCAAGCAATATATACAGTTGTAGTAAGTAGCTAATGGGTGAAACTCCTTTTATTGCCTATGAACTTTGCCTAAAGATTTGCAAGAGAAATACTTTTCCTCTAGAGGATTCTATGTAGTTCATATTGTATTCGTAAGACACTTAGAACAAAAACTTTGAAGAACTTGATAAGAATAACAAAGTTTAAAAAGTATTTTCAAAACTAGAAAATTAAATTAGTAGAGAAAATAAAACCAGAAATATATTAGAAACAATATACAAAATATTTTTCTTTAAGAAGAAAATCGAGCCCACTGAATGCACAGTGTCCCCTTAAGGAAATTATTCCCCTAAAGTACCCGAGGTTAATGGAATATATCCTCCCAGGATAGAACGATCTTACTCACCGGTGTATCGATACCTAAAACCACGGTGTCAGCGAACCACTCAACGACAGTAAAGTACACTTAGAATACTAGATTTAGTAGTAGTAGAAGAAGTCAAGAAAATTCTTTTTCTTAAAATGAGAGGAAATCTCTCAATTAATAGAAAACAAATGGTAGTGTGAAAAGGTTCTTATTGTGCCTTATCGGAAATGTCACAAACCTTTGGAAAAGTCACAGTCTTTCGGAAAGGTCACAACCTTTCATAAAAGTAACAACTTTTCATAAAAGTCACAACTCTTCATAAAAGTCGCAACTCTTCATAAAAATCACAACTTTTCATAAAAGTCGCAACGCTTCATAAAAGTCACAACTCTTCATAAAAGTCGCAACTCTTCATTTTCCATTCACACCTTTTAAAACCCAACAATCCCCCGCATGAATGGGGAATGACTCAAAGACAAAGAAACGGACAAGTATGTGTACTTTACAAGCAAGAATTAATTGCATCTTGATAAGTAGGTTTCCCCTTGGACTTTCCGTAGTGAACATATGTCAGATATACTCGGTCAATCGGTAGATGCGATATCTTTGAACCGTCGAGCTTTGGTGTATACCTAGACAACCATATGTCACACAATTAATCCTTTACTGTTTATGGTTCTTATGGTTGTGTTCGTTTCAGCCATGAACACCTCCTGGTTTCATGAGTGTATAGAGAGATGGGCTTTTGACAATCATCCTCTTTGAAACGGCTTACACTTCACACTCACATAGGTGATTTCTAAACGTGTTATTGCGTAGATACACTATTTGGTCAAATCTGCCAAACTTAGCAAATCATTAAAAACTTTAAGCTTTATTAACAAGCCTTAATGTTGTATCCTTGTTCCTGAGCATTGTCTTCATCATGGGAATGAATTGAGTTGGTTGACAATGCTGAACCGTCAGTCACAACTTTATTTTTCTCCTTGAATCTAGCTCTTGGGATCTCCAGTCTGCTAGATAGAGTTACCGCCATGATGACTTGTCCTAAGCCGTAAATCCATTCCGTTAGATGATCTTTCAACCTTTTCTTTAGTTAGGCCTTTTTTATAAGTGAATCCAATACATTATCCTTTGACTTTACAAAGTCAATTGTGATAATTCCACTAGAGAGTAGTTTTCTAACGGTATCATGTGTATGTCTTATATGACAAGACTTTCCGTTATATATCATGCTCCATGCCCTACCTATTTGATGTAGATCAAAGTGACACTACTTCAAGGAGGCCTTTCACAAGGAGTCAAGCTAAGGATCTTCAAGCATTGCAAGCTTTATGGATGAAGATGGAACCTTTGGAAGGCACCAACATGGAAGACTTGAAGATATTTAATATATTAAGTGCCCTACCATTTTAATTACCTTGTAATTTTAATGAAGGGCAATTGAGTCTTTCTTCACTATTTTAGTTTTAGTATAAATAGTAGATATTAGGGTTTCATAAGTAGTTTTGGACATGTTATGCCTCTTGTGAGAGTTTGGAAGCCCTTTGTTGAACTTCAACATTTTGTCCTAGAATTTGCAAGTAAGATTATTACTTTCTTGAGGATTCTAATAGATTAGGTGCTTTTATTTCCCAATTAAGTGGTGTTTTTGGTTAGTATCACCATTACATCTCTTAGTTGTTTGAATTTAATTGTGTCTATCTCTTTTATCTAGCTTTTTTTATTTCTATTTTAT